TTATTTATTTTTGATTATACATGTTTATGGGGTACAGATTTGATTATCACTATTCATGTACAGTATGTGAATATCAAATCAATATTATTAGCATGTTCACCATTATAAATCCTTATTATTCTTTTTATCCCTTACCCATTTGCTCCTTAACCTCCTTCTTCCCCACCTCTAGTAACTATAGGTCTGTTCTCTCCTGAAAGTTCATCATTTTATTGTGGTTTTTATTTCCTTCCTTTTTTCTTTCTTTCTTGGCTCCCACTTATGAGCAAGGATATGCAGTATTTCTCTTTCTGTGCCAGGCTTATTTCACTTAATATGTTTTTCTCCAAGCTCATCCATGTTGCTGTTAATGGCAGTATTTAATTCTTTTCTATGGCTGAGCAGTGTTGTATATATACCATTGTATACATACCACATTTTCCTTATCCAGTCATCTGTCAATGGACATTTAGGGTGGTTCCCTATCCTGGCTATTGTAAATAGAGCTGCAGTGAACATGGGAGTGCAGGTATCCCTTCGACATCGTGATTTACATTCCTTTGGGTATATACCCAGAAGTGGGATTTCAGGACCATATGATACTTTTATCTGTAGTTGTTTGAGGAAACTCCATACTGTTTTACATAATGGCTGTACTAATTTACAGTCCCAACGACAGTGTAGAAGAGTTCCCTGTTCTCCACATCCTCATGAGCGTTTGTTATTCTAAGTCTTTCTGATAATGGCCAGTCTATCTGGGATGATCATTGTGGTTTTGATTTGCATTTCCCTGATGATTAGTAATGTTAAGTAGTTTTTCATGTACATGTTGGTCATTTGTACGTCTTCCTTTGAAAAACCTCTAGTCAGCTCCTTTGCCCATCTTTTAATGCAATTATTTTGGGGTTGTTTTACAGTGAAGTTGTTTGAGTTCCTTATACATTCTGGATATTAATCTCTTGTCAGATGTATAGTTTGCAAATACTTTCTCCCATTCTTTACATTGTCTTTTCGCCCTGTTGATTGTTTCCGTTACTGCACAGAAGCTTTTTAGTTTGGTGTAAGCCCATTTATTTTTCTTTTGTTGCTTGTGCTTTTCAGGTCTTATTCATAAAGTCTTTCCCCAGACATACATCCTGAATTGCTTCCCCTATGTTTTGTGTTAGGGGCATTATAATTTCAGGTTTTATACTTATGTCTTTCACCCATTTTAGGTCAATTTTAGTATATGGGGAGAGGTATGGGACTAATTTCATTTTTCTCCATATAGATGTCCATTTTCCCCAGCACCATTTACTGAAGAGGCTGTCCTTTACTCAATTTATATTCTTGGTGCCTTTGTCAGAGATCAGTTAGCTGTAAGTACCCGGGTTGATTTATGGATTCTCTATTATGTTCCATTTGTCTGTCTATTTTTATGCCAGTACCATGCTGTTTGGGTTCTATAGCTTTGTAGTATAGTTTGAAGTCAAGTAGTGTAATGCCTCTGGTTTTATTATATTTTGAACTACTTTACTGCCACCCAATAAAACAGGTGCCCAGAGAAACCTTCATTTTATTTTCCTTACATTTTTACAGTAACCTAAATATCACATGGCAGACCCTGCAAATAAAATATGGCTGGATGCTAAAAGGTTGTAAAATTATTCTACCTGGTATTTTAGACATCAAAATTACCATACTTGTGTGCATATGTTTGGGTCTGGAAGATTTGTTTTAAGATAAAATATACCAAATAATCCAATTAAAACTCTTACTCTTTCAGCTAAACTCTACATGATTAATTGATTGATCTATTTATTTTTATTTTTAGCCACAAAACAAGTCTTAATACATTTAAAAAGATTAAGATCATAGAAAATATGTTCTCTGACCACAATAACTGAGGGAAATTTAAGAAATGCACAAATATGTGGAAATTAAACAACACTCCCCTAAGTAAACAATGGGTAAAAAAAATATAGGGAAATTAGAGAGTACTTTGAGATAAAAGTCAAAGTACAATTTATCAAAATTTAGAGGATGCAGGGTTCATGCAATGCTGAGAGAAAAACTTATATTTGTAAACACTTATATTAAATATCTCAAGTCAGTAATGTAAACTTCTACTTTAAGAAAATAGAAAAAGAAGAGAAAACTAAACCAAAAGCAAATATAAGCAGGAAAATACAAAGATGACAACAGAAATATATGAAATAGGGAATTAAAAAACAATAGAGAAAATCAACAAAACCAAAAGTTGATTCTTTAAAAAGATCAACAAAATTTGCAAACCTTTATCTAGATGGGCCAAGAAAAAATAAAGACTGGAATTACTAAAATCCGAAATAAAGCTGGGCATTATTATATTGCCATTATGGTTTTTTTGTGGCAGTAAGATTTAGTTTCTTTCTCTTTCTCATTTACATTTTTGTTCTACCAGTGGGTTTTGTTCTTTCATGTGTATTTGCGGTAGTGATTTTCATTTTGGGGGTTCCAGATGCAAGATTTCCCTGAGAATTTCCTGTAGGGCTGGTCATGTGTTGTTGAACTCCTGCAGTTTTTGTTTGTCTGGAAAATACACTATTTTTCCTTCATTTCTGAAGGATAGCATTGCCAGGTATATTATTCTTGTCAGGCAGTTTTTTTCTTTTAGTATTTTGAATATATCACCCCATTTTCATCTGACCTGTAGTTTCTGTTGAGATGTCTGCTGTTAGTCTGATAGGGGCTCCCTTACAGGTGACTTCATGATTTTCTCTTGCTTATTTTAAGATTCTCTCTGTCTTTGAGCATTGCTAGTTTGACTATAATGCATGTTGGAGATGATCATTTTGGGTTGAATCTGTTTGGGGATCTTTGAGCATCCTGGATCAAAAGGTCCGTATCTCCCCCTATACCTGGGAAATTTTCTGTTATTATTTCATTGAGTAGGTTTTCCATTCCTTTTCCTTTCTCTTCCCCTTCTGTAACACTCATGAGTTGAATGTTTCTTTGCTTAAGGTTGTCTGCTAGCTCTCTTAGATTCTCTTCATTTGTTTAAATTCTTTTTTTCCTTTTTTCTTTATTTTGTCCACCTGGCTTATTTAAAAAAAAAAACTATCTTAAACATCAGAAATTATTTCTTGTATTTGTTCTAGCCTGCTGCATAAGCTATTGGTTGTGTTTTTTATTTCATTGAGTGAATCTTTTAGTCCCATTAGTTTTGTTACATTCTTTTTTAATGTATTAATCTCTTCATAAATTTCCTCCTTCATATCCTGGACTTTTTTTTCTCATTTAATTATATTGTCTAACTGAGTCTTCTTGTATCTCATTGACTTTCCTTAAGATTGTTGCTCAGAATTCCTTTTCAGTCATTTCAAGGGTTTCCTGCTCTATAAGTCTGGTACTTGAGAATTACTGTATTCTGTTGGTGGTGTCATATTTTCTTAGGTTTTCATATTTCTAGTATCTTTACATGTCTGGTCATCAGGTAGAGCAGTGGCTTCTTCTAGTACTCTGGAGTGGGTTTTGAGAAGAGAGATGTCTTCTTCCTTTTCCAGTCTCTGCTGATGACACTACTGTGTCAATGCAGTTGAGTGTCTGGCAGGCCACCTGCACAGTGGCTGTGGCTACTGCTGTGGCATTGAGCCACTTTTTCAGCAGTTGTAGTGGTGGCAGTGGCTGTGGTGGGCTACCCACATGAAAGTGGTATTTTTGACATTCTCTCTTGCCTGTTTCCAGGTGGGGGTGCTGCCCTCAACTCCTGTCTGGGACCCCAGGTGTGCTCTGTTGCCTTCTTCTAGACAGAGTGGGTTGCCCTTGGCTCCAGCCTAGGACCCTGGATATGCTGTCTTACATGCTTTCATGTGTAGGTGGCTGCCCTTGGCTCCTGCCTAGGACCCCAGGCATGCTCTCTTGCTTGCTTCAGGTTGAGGGGGCTGCCCTCAGTTCCTGCCTAGGACACTGGGCATGCTCTCTTGCCTGTTTCCAGGCAGAGGGGGCTGGCCTCAGCTCCTACCTAGGATCCCAGGTATGCTCTCTTGTTTGCTTCAGGTGAAGAAAGCTGCCCTCAGGTCCTGCTTAGGACCCCAGTTGTGTTCTCTTGAGTGTTTCCAGGCAGAGGGCTATTCTTGGCTCCTGCTGAGGACCCTGGACATGCTCTCTTGCCTGCTTCCAGTTGGAGGTGGCTACCCTCAGCTCCTCTATGTGATTTATTTAGTTATATATAGTTCCTACATGGATTAAAAAACTAGTTGATATCCCACACCTACTTATCACTTTATCATTTTTTTAACTTACAGGAAAATGTTAAGCAAACACAAACATCAAACTTCCCTGAAAATACATTATTCTTATAGAAAGTTAATTGAATTAAGAACTGTGTTCAAGTGTTCTCTTATTTATGGTCAGTAGTATCATAAACTATGTCTCTAAAACTTTCTTTCCAAAAACCAAGATTGCTGTTTCCTGTATGCTTATGAAAAGCCTTTAAACTTATTATATTTAATATACTCTTTTATCATGAATGATGAATTTATACCTAATTAATATTAAATGAAAGCATAACAATTTCAGCAATTTATGAGGTTAAAAAAAAATCTCCCAAAATGAGCCAAAAGACAGTCATGAAGTGATGACAGTTTGAGAACACAACAGGGTCACTGTAAAGTCTGAAACCACTTTTCAACGTTAAAACTTAGACTGTGATAACAAATAAGTTCATGATAGCTACATCAAAAGCATGTATTTAATATTGTCTTACTTCCAACCCCAAGGAAGTGAAAAACTTCTAACAGGGAAAAGATGATTAAGTCATATGACTAAAGTTTTCACTTCTGAAAATGGTGGTAATACCCTTTAGGGTTTGTTGTAAAATATAAACTAGTAAAATACAAACTAGTAAAATACTTAAAATAGTCCCTGCCACATAGAAATAAATGTTAGCTATTACACTTATTATGACCACAATAAGACATATAAAACTAAAAGATATTTCAGTAATATGTGCACTGTTTTCTTTAAATTTCATTAGAATTTTATAAAGCCTCATACATTACCTTTTCATCTATCTTGTTTCTCAGAGACTGTTGATGTATGATATTTGATTTTGTCTTTTCTGCATTTCTCTGACTATACTGTTTATACCCCTCTTTCATTTCAGTTTTATACTGCTGATATTTTAGTTTATATTTGCTTGTTGGTGCTGGCAAATTTTCAGGTATTATGCCCTGCTCCTAGAGGTAAAGGGGAAAAAAAACATGCTACCCATCAGAAAAAAATCAAAGTGATTATTAATTTTCCTTATTGACATTAACAGGTTTATCATTTGCCTTAGCATTTATGCCTAAGAAACAGACCATTAAAATCCATGTTCTAAACAGAGGTGATATTTAAAACATTTAGTTGGTACAGCATCACTAACCAATCAGAGAACACAGAATTGCTCAGAATGGGCACTGGGCTTTAATATCAGTAAGCTTGTACCTTGCTTTCCAGCCAAAGATCAATCTTGGTTCCAAATTTCAGAGGAGCTTCTCTTAGAAGTTTCAGATAGGCTTTTCTTTCCTCTGCCCCAGAGGAACTCCATTGTCAATCATTCCTTCCAGAATAGTCATAGGAATTGGATATCACTAATACTGAGGACTGGTTGCCATTTCTAGAACACTGAGATATTCTACCTTCTAGTAGAATATCTGTTATTTGGTTCTCTGTTACATTGCCATGGGAGTAAGAGATAATAGAGCCAGTGGATAAGAGAAACCTAAAAAAAAGTGCTAAGCAGGTACAAGGGCATACCTATTGACCCACAGAGAGACAGACACTCCAAAAGGAGCATATAAAGCCAGTCCAACCCTTGAAAAGTGTTGAGGATAAACAAGTCTATCCCAGAGGAGAAAAATGAAACAAAGCTTCAGTGTGAAAACTATAGCAAGATACAGACTAGAGTATTACTCATGTAATTTTCCAAAATGAGACTGGGGAGAACATGAACAGAGCCAGCTACAGGAAAAGGACTAACAAAGACAGAAAAGTAAACCCTCCTTATGGAATATTAGTCACAACCTATATTCATAATGTGGAACAAAACACTAGATACTGTCTGAACTATAAACATATCCCAAGGAGACACTTTGAAATAAATATTTCCTAGTATCCTAGTAGGCTAAAGTATGAATCAATTTCCAAGAGACCAATCTTAAACTAGCAAGTTTAAGTTGCCATATTTTTAAAAATTCCTTACTTCCATATATGGATGTAACTTTACTTTATCTATTTTATAAGAAATTTTTTAAATGCCATTCTTATTGACATTCTTATGTGTGAAAAGAAAGTGTAAAACAAAGTAAATTATTTCACCAACATTATTGTTTAGGATTATTTATTTTTTAAAGATGACTGGTAAGGGGATCTTAACCCTTGAGTTGGTGTTGTCAGCATCACGGTCTCCCAAGTGAGCCAACCAGCCATCCCTATATAGGGACCCAAACCTGTGGCCTTAGTGTTATTAGCATGACACTCTCCCAAGTTAGCCATGGGCCGGCCCTATGTTTGGGATTTTAATATATAAAATATTTAAACTGGGAAAAACATAGACAGGAATGGTAAAATTTCTGAATTAAATACAATGCTAATAATGCATACTATAATTCTGAAAGTTGGTAATAGCCAAATAAATACTAACCAGTTCATTTAGATGATGCTGTGTATATGGTATTTGACATGGTGTGATCCAACCAAGAGTAGAAGATGAATTCGGTGGGTTAAAATAAATATGTGCTGTACTAAGTGGAATACGATTATATGAAAAATCATCCTAAAAATAAAATGTAATTAATGATACTTATTATATACTATATGTAATACTGTGCTCAAATGTTTATTATATTAAATACTATGTAAAAATTACCTCATCATCAGAATCAACAAGGCTTCCCAAGTCAAGTGGTGGGACCCTGAAAGAAAGAATCTGTGCATCCCATAACTGTTTAAAATGAGACCTTAATAATTGCAAATCATGTATGTCACATCTTATATAAAAAGCCAGCTTTTATACGCTGTAGCCAGTGGTGTTAAACATTCAGTAATTTTTGAGCTGGTTGTTATACACAGACATTATTAAAAATAAAATTATATAAATTTATAATTAAATTATATTAAAAACAAAAGTGATAATTACTCAAAATGTATTACTTCCAATGATTTTACTGTACCTCACTATTATCTGTGCTCTAGAGGTTATCTACGTCTATCATATCTGTATAGTAATATAATAGTGTGCATCTCTTTCCAACTCTGTGCTTAGTGATGTTACATAGACAGCTTGAAATCAGTTATGGTCAGATTATTTACACTGGAATTGGAAAATGCTGTGAACCAGAACTTAATTTATTATTTAGTTGATTTCTGAAACTGAAAAAAGTGGTGGAGATAAAAAGTTAATAAACTTTTTTTAAAGTTTAGCAGGTCAAACTTAAAAGTATATCATGTCTATAGCTGTCAGTGACTGGCACTAAATATTATTTCAAACTATTATTTCATATTCAAACTTATTATTTGATTCAGCAAAGAAATCACTCACATCACTTCACAGAAAATGAAAATGTCAACCAATATTCATTTGGAACTACACTGGTTCATCAATTGCAACCACACAGATAACAGAGTTTAGCAAAAAACAAAGAAAGCATTCTGTGAGAAATCAATTGTCTATACGGGATCTACAACAAAGACTTTATATATTTTATTAGTATTTTTAAATTACTTGCTACACATCCTTTATATCAGTAAAAGTCATAATCAACTTAAAATATACTTAAATTTATTTATAATGAACAAATAAAATTTATAATAAACTTATAATACACTTTCAGAAAACCAGTTGTTAGACATTGACCAGCACACAATTGACACATTCATCGTGTCTTATTCCATATCCTGTGCTTGAGCATAACTCTATTCTTTACGTCTAGATAAGCATACAGATATCTATTATTGTATAACCACATGAAATTGTTGGTATTTACTCATTTTTAATCTACGAAAATCTCAATGTCATGTTGCCCATCCTAGTAAATTACTGTTTTTAATTTCTTTTTTCCAAGAAGCCCTACAGTCTAAAATATTTGAAAGAATATAAAAGTCCAATCATTCCAAATTTTAAAAGGCAAAAGTAATATGAAATCTAAAACAAAAAATTATGTATTCTAAGCTAAACATAATTCAATAAGATTGATAAAATTGTCATATTCCTCAAGATAAGACTAAAGCACAGATATATTTACCATTAAGTTAATTTCGACTATACCAATTATATAATTACAAATTTTACATATGTCTTCAATAAATACATTTAGCTGAATTTTCTAAATGAATATTTTAGCTTCTTCAGGAAAATATAGAATAATATTAAAGAAAAAAAAGTATTACCCATAATTCTACCATCTTATTACAAGTTATTTTAATTGTGGCATAGTAATTTTCAGGCCACCCATATGCATATAGATTTTTCTAAGGTTCACTATTATAGCTACACATATATAATTTTGCCTTCTTTTTTTTAACTTGCAAACATATCATAAATATTTCCCATTAAACAGTTCAAATGTGAAGAAATGTGACTTACACAGGTGGGCAAGAATTCTGGATTGCCCATGATCCAGAAGTCCATCCTTGCTTTTAATTAAAAAAAAAAAAAAAAAAGAATCAATATGCATATATCCTTTAAACCCCATATAAGAAATATTTATTAAGCCCCTCCCTACTGTGCTTGAGACACAGATAAAATGAAAGCATGATAGATACCTCCACCCACATATCACTGTCTGCTGGGGAAGACATTCACTCAAATAAGCAATAATGGGAAAAATAAGGGCCGGCCCGGTGGCGCACTGGATAGTGCGCCGCTTGGGAAGCACGGCAGCGCTCCC